TCCGAGTGCTCAGAGAAATCTGCATTCTTGACACATACTGCTGATGAGTAAAAATGACTAATGGAAGGCTCTGACCATGTCATTCCCTTGCTCCAAGACCTTCAATGGTGTCTCATTTTTTCAGCCTATCTTTCCTGTCTTATTGTTTTTTAAAATCTCTCATATACCCCATTGCCAAGGCCAATAAGACTATTTGCAATTTTTTTGCCTACTACCTGGCTTTCTAATCTCTGCATCTTTGCTCATTTTGTATCCTAAATCTAGGATGCCCTCCAAGTTTCTTTTCCCCTAGAATTAATTTCATTTTCCCCCAATTTTCCTCTCCTCATGCTCCCCTCTCCCCCTGTTAAGCAATAAGAAAAAATGAAACCCTCATAAACACACAGTCATGTCAAAATTCCTATTGAGTATGTATAAAAAAAAGTATGTCTCATTTTGCATTTTAAGTTTGTCACCTCTCTGGCAAGAGGTAAAGAACATGCTTCATCATTTGTCCTGTGAAATTGAGGTTTGCCACTACATTAAACACAGGACTCAAGTCTTTCAAAATGGCTTTTCTCCATAATGTTGCTGTCATTGTATAAATTGTTCATCTAGTACTGTTCACTTTGCTCTGCTTAAGTCCATAGAAGCTTTCCCAATTTTCCCTGGAATGCCGCATTTTGCTATTTTTAAGGCTTAATGATAATGTTCCACTACATTCACATACCAAAGTCTGTTTAGCCATTCCCTAAGAAGTGAGCATTGCCTTAAGTCTCTAGGGGACATTTTTGCGCATAAGGGTACTTTTTCTTCTGTTGATCTCTTTCGGGGGTTTATGTCTAGTACTGCTATTACTGAGTCAAAGCGTCTGCCTAGTCTGGTGTCTTTGGTGGGGGAGAGGTCTAATTCCAAATGGCTGGACCAATATAGAGCTCCATCAACAGTGCTTCTGGCACAGTCTGAGTCAAAGAACTTTGTTTCAGCTCAAAACCAAAGATAATCTATTGAAATAGAGGTAACATAACATAGAACATGTACACAATAGAGCCAATCTCTGCAACGTAAGCAATTTAAGGAGTTCATTGTTTTGACTCTTTATCCCCAGTACCTAGACCCGAGCCTGGAAAATAGTGGGAACTTAATACATTGCTTTTTGAATTGAACTAAATCCCAATTTGATTATAATTCTCTATTTTCATATTTTATCAAGTTGGACACCTTAGGATTTCAATGCAATTTTGTCTTTCCCTGGCACTTCTATGAATGGTTAAATGAAAAAAAGATTGGGGACAGTCAGGAGAAGGACTTTCCAGATGAGTACAATGGTAAAAGTATAACAAGGGTAAAATTAGATATACAGCATAGCTACTATATTTTATTGTAAATTAGTATTCACTGAGGGAGGATTTCTAAAATATGGGCTTGGTAAAAGAAAAAGCAGGTGCCTATCTTTAAAAGAGCAGAATGTCTAGTTACTCAGTAAACTGAGGAATGAAAAGTTCTTATATAGATAACTGGTATCTAATCTCATTATTTCTGGGATCTCTAAGTGTATAAATTAAATAACTCCTCCTGCAAAAACATCTACTCATTTGTCAATGGATAAAACACCTAACATTTACCAATAGTCAAAATTAGAGTGTAGAGACAGTCAAAACAAAATAACCCCAAACCGGATTGTTAGCACCCTTCCACACCCTCTGACTTTCTGCCATGATTACTGCAGGAGTAGGAAAGTACTAAAACAAGACTGAGACCCATTTTGTATTTTCCTTTATTTTATGAATAGTCATGGCCAAAAAAAGTTGTTTTTTTTTAAATTTTAATCATCACCAACTGGCGAGCCTACAAGTTGACATTTTTGCTATAAAAAAAAAGGAAAGAAGTTAAGTTATGGCTAATGGAAGAATGACTCACAGATATTCTTGGAGAGGCAAGAGTGGAGTGGATCTTATTGTTATGTCCAGAAGCAATATGAAACATTACTTTATGGGGCATATGGTCATCATACCAGAGATGAGTGTTTCCAAATAAGACTACTATGAAAATGACTGCAGCTTATGTACCAACATCAGTTGCTGGGGATGGACAGGTAAAGAAATGCTACAAAGAACTTAATAGGACCCTCCAAATTAAATTAACATTCTTATACTTTGGTGATTGTAATGCAAAAGTGGAAAAGGGTGAACACATGGAGAAATACATGGGAAAGTCTAGTTTGAGAAGAAGGAATGGGAGAGCACAAAATTTCAAGGATTACACAGAAGTCTCGTGACTTTGCATCTTGGATGCTTTCTTTGAGAAAAGAAATGGCAAGCATGGGACAACAGTGAGCCCTGAATAATACCACCAAAAAATGAAATAAGACATTTGACGGCAAGGCTTGTTTTTGACAAAGGACTTTTTCCTGACTTAACTTTCTATGCACAGACAGGCCATCAAATCGTCAGATCTAGGATCAGAATGTTTTTTTTAAAGGCAAGACAAAGAACAAGTTATGGTATGCAATTTACACAACTTGATCCAGAACCATTTAAACAAGTAATTGACAAACAAAATTGGGAACCTGGACCACAGAAATCATATAGATATTGATTATAATGATTCTATACTTTAGTTTAACCAATGTAAACTAATTAACAAAAACAAGGATACCAAAAAAGCCCAGAAAATACCTTAGTCAACAAACATCTAACTTCTGTGCCAGATGGAGAGAGTGACTGACTGCCAAAGGCAACACCGAGACAGAATATAAACTTGTTTGTAAAATCTGACGAAGAAGGATGATGGATAATGATGAGTAGGTTCATCTCATAAAGCAGAAACTGTAGAGGGTAAAACTAGTTTAAGAATCTTGGCAAGGTATCTGACTAAACAAATTCATCCCAAGGGCATTTAAGGATGAAACTGGAAGGAGGTCAACAAACAGAAGACAAATGGATGAGATTTGTAAAAATCATTATCATAACCTGTTTTCTCCATCAAGGAAAGCAGAACCAGCATACCTAAGACTAACAGCACAATCCCAGATGTACTCATAGGGGAAGTAGAAATGATAATAAAGAGAACAAAAATGGGAAATGCAGTTGAACTACATATAGAATCTTATACATATATAGATATATTTGTATATATCATATATGGATGTGTTTGTAAATGTATGGATTTATATATTGTATATAAGTAATATACAGAAATGTGTGTGCATACATATATCTTGGAAGTCATATACAAAGAAATGATACCAATTAAAACTCATAGGAACTGATGAAGTCATCAAGAGAGTTGTAGAAAAAGAGGGCTTGGGACAGAGGCTTATCTTCCCCCAATCAATCTACCCAATCCCCAGATGTGAACCTTTCACTCCAGCTAGAATAGTATTGTCACTGTCACCCAAGAAGGCCTGCCTGTGTCTAAGTTAATGGTTTCTCCCTCGCACACCTAAAATACAAGGCAATGCTCACCATTTCCAGAGAGTTAATAGATATAATTGTTTTGCCCATGTTAGTTCAATTAAGCGAACTAACTTACATGAGGTGCTTTGCAAACTTTAAAGTGCTATAAAAATGCTAGTTATAATTAGTTTTATCTCAATCAAACCATAAACTCCTTAAGACATGATGTTCTATATTTCTTTTGCACCTTCTGCAATACAGTACAATTCTAGGTGCTCAATGATTATCTGTCCAACCAGTATTTGAATGCATAAAGTGTCAGAGAACGTGGTCAAAACTCATATAGTTCTGACACAAAGTATTCTTTCATTTGAAAAAATCCATTTCATTACTACCGATAATTCATAAAGTCTGCCAAACACTGTATAAATCTTTCTTTAATGAATGTTTAAGTCATACAGTGATTATTATTAATGGGCCAGCATCACAGGCTTAATTAACATATCTATGATAAAAATCTTACTGAACAGAAGAGACATACGAATCATGCTATTTCTCCAAGTCTTTGGGACTACCCCAAAGATCACCCCCATTTTAATTTCACATTTTTTGGCCTTCTAACATGCTTCTAGAAGTAGATTAGCCAAAACAATGAAATTTGATGAAATTCTGTTTCAGAAGTCAGGTGACAGAAAGATGTGAGAGCATTTTCTATGGTGTTCTTTCAGAGTCTTCCCTTATTCAACAATGTTTTTACATTGACTATACATGAATCTAACATTGGCCTATAATTCC